TTACGTTGAATTTCCATTTCATTTCATTCCCATTCCCCTGTGTGTGACCCCGCCCCCTCTGCCCCGCCCCATCCCAATCCCAAATTCCTTTTCCCACCTTTTCCCATCTTTTCCCACCTTTTCCTGCCTTTTTCCTTTTCCCAAATTTCTCTTTTCCCACCCAACATTCCCGCCTTTTCCTGCCTTCTCCCGCCCAACATTCCTGCCTTTTTTTCCCGCCTTTTCCCACCTTTTCCCTCCTTTTCCCTTTTTCCCGCCTGACATTCCCACCTTTTTGCTCCTTTTCCTGCCTTTTCCCACCCAACATTCCCAAATTCCTTTTCCCTTTTCCCACCTTTTCCCACCCAACATTCCCACCTTTTTTTCCCACCTTTTCCCTTTTCCCCCTGACATTCCTGAATTCCTTTTCCCTTTTCCCGCCTTTTCCCTCCTGAAAACCTTTTTCCGCCTTTCCCCTTTTCCCGCCTTTTCTCTTTTCCCACCCAACATTCCCAAATCCCTTTTCCCGCCTTTTCCCACCTGGCATTCCCACCTTTTCCCTTTTCCCACCTTTCCCCCTTTCCCACCCAACATTCCGACCTTTTCCCTTTTCCCTCTTCTTCCCTTTTCCCACCTTTTCCCTTTTCCTTTAATTCCTTTTTCCCTTTTCCACCTGACATTCCCACCTCTTCCCTTTTTCCACTTTTTCCCTTTTCCCGCCTTTTCCTTTTTCCCACCTTTTCCCACTTGACATTCCTGCCTTTTCCCTTTTCCCGCCTTTTTTTCGGCCTTTTTGTCCCACCTTTTCCCTTTTCCCACATTTCCCTTTTCCCATCCAACATTCCCACCTTTTCCCTCCTTTCCCCTTTTCCCACCTTTTTCCCTTTTCCCACCCAACATTCCCAAATTCCTTTTCCCTTTTCCCGCCCTTTTTTCCCTCCCTTTCCTGTTTTCCCGCCCTTTTCCCAGTGACGCGGCACCTGCGGCACCTCCTGGAAAGGACCAATCAGAAGAAGCCCAAATTGCGAAAGAAACCCAAGGCCCAAAGCGAGGAGCGCCCGGGTAGGGATGGCCCCAAAAACNTTCCTGCCTTTTTTCCCCATCTTTTTCCACCTTTTCCCACCTTTTCCCTCCTTTTCCCTTTTCCCACCCAACATTCCCACCTTTTCCCTTTTCCCACCTTTTCCCGTCTTTTCCCACCCAACATTCCCAAATTCCTTTTCCCTTTCCCCACCTTTTCCCACCCAACATTCCCACCTTTTTTTTCCACCTTTTCCCTTTTTCCACTTGACTTTCCCACCCTTTCCCTTTTCCCCCTGACATTCCTGAATTCCTTTTCCCTTTTCCCTCCTGAAATTCCTGCCTTTTCCCACCTTTTCCTTTTATCCCCCTGACATTCCCAAATCCCTTTTCCTGCCTTCTCCCACCGGACATTCCCACCTTTTCCCTTTTCCCACTCGACATTCCAAAATCCCTTTTCCCACCCAACATTTCCACCTTTTCCCTTTCCCCACCTTTTCCTACTTTTCCCTTTTCCCGCCCAACATTCCCAAATCCCTTTTCCCACCCAACATTCCCGCCTTTTTCCTCTTCCCGCCTTTTCCCTCCCAATATTCCCACCTTTCCCCTTTTCCCGCCTTTTTTCCTGCCTTTCCCCTTTTCCCTTTTCCCACCTTTTTTTCCCACCCCTCCCCTTTTCTCGCTTTTCCCTTTTCCCACCTTTCCTTGCCTTTCCCCTTTTCCCGCCTTTTCACTCCTTTTCCCGCCCACCGTTCCCGCCTTTTTCCCTTTTCCCACCTTTCTCCTCCTCCCACCTTTTCCCCCCAACATTCCCAAATCCCTTTTCCCGCCTTTTTCCATCTTTTTCTGCCTTTCCCTTTTCCCGCCTTTTCCTTTTTCCCACTCAACATTCCCAAATTCCTTTTCCCTTTTCTCGCCCAACATTCCCGCCTTTTTTTCCCACATTTTCCATTTTCCCACCTTTTCCCTTTTCCTGCCTTTTCCCACCCTTTTCCCACCTTTTTTTCCCACCCTTTCCCCTTTTCCCTTTTCCCACCTTTTTCCCTTTTCCCACCCAACATTCCCAAATTCCTTTTCCCTTTTC